TTACTTTATCTACAATATAATGCTTCAGTGAACATTAGCAACTTTGAGACACAAGTTTCAATCAGTGGTCTCGCGGCAGTGTGTGCTCAGCCAGGTGCAGAGAAGAGATGAACACCGCCGCCGAAGAGACGCTGCGGCTTTCAACCGGAGGACTGAGAAAGAGGTCCCGAAATAAAACCAAATAAAAACGGACAGCGGGGAAAGCAGAAAGAGGAGAAGCAGGGAAGAAAGCCAGAGAAAATAAACTGTACAGGACAGCGGGGAGAAGAGCTGGCAGGAAAGGTGGTGGTGGAATAACATTTTATTTTGAGATAAATACAATTGTGTTGAGAGATGGGGAGAAAGAGTGAGGTAGACAGACAAAGGGAATGATAGAAATGGACAAAAAACAAAGTAAGGGAGAAAGGATTGGAGAGGGAAAGAAAAAAAAAAGGGGGGGGCAAGGTGCTCTCCCTGGATAGAGTGGAGCTGGTCTTGTCCAATAAACACAGGTGAGCAGCTCGACAGGCCAGGACCACCAGGCTGACAGACAGCTGGAGAGCTCTCTCACTGACCGCCAGCTTTATGTTACATGACATGAGGAGTGCAACTGACAAAGAGAAACTGCCTGAGAGTGGGGGGGAGACGAGTGGGCGGAAACACGCGGAAACACGCGGAAACACACACACACACACACACACACACACACACACACACACACACACACACACACACACACACACACACACACACACACACACACACACACACACACACACACCCCTGTTCGCTTGTGCACTTGTTGGCTGTTTGAAGCAGCCACAAAAATCGCAGACAGGAGGAACGCCGTGCTACTTCCCTTCACAGGTGAGCAGGAGAAGGAAACACCCCGGTGCTTCAGTGGGAGAAAATGAGGAGTTGTGTGGTTTTGGGGGGGGCGGGGTCAGAATGTATGCTGTGTGCTGACTGAATCTTTTCCACATGACGGGCCTTGGGCTGTTTTTGTCAACTGCACTCTTGAGCAGCGAGGAGTCAGGTAGTGTGACCACATGATTGCCCATGAGGCACTGTGGTGGGAGAGGTGTGGGGGGGGGGGAGTGGGAGAGAGAAGGAGTGAAAGGTGAGAGATCGGGGGGGGGGGACAGGACCGATGCACCACGCATGATGAGGTGTAATCACAAACCCCATTCAGGGTGCAGCAGAGTTTGTCAACATACACACATTCACATTCCACTGTCTGTCAGCTCCATGACCCAAATCAAGCATGCTGTGTGTTAGTGTGTGTGCTTTTTTCCTCACACACAGAAGGATGCTTTTTGCCCATTGCCAACCAGGTAGCAACAGTTGCACTGTCTGGGCTTGTGGTTTTGCGGTGAGGAAGTCAAGATTCCAAGCTCGTGTAGGATTTCACCGCCGCCTGTATCCCTTTTCAGCCGGCGATCAAGTGATCATTATGAACAAAGGACTTGGCTTGTTGCCTCTGGAGTAAAAGCTTTTTCAGTGGCTGTGACCGTGTGGATTTGAAACTTAAAAAAAAAAGAAGAAATGTTGGAAAACCTACAGAAGAGAAGGCACTAGTCATGTTCAAAATAATTGAATGAGACACAATTAGACGCTAAGTAATTCAAACTTAAAATGGAAAGAAACATGAAAAAATAATTATAGAAAACATTAAACTAAAGAAAATCGTATTTACAGTTCAACAAAGATATTTCATAAAAATGTAGGTCTTATATTCCCATATTAAGCCAAAATATATTTTCATGTATGTATTTTAGTTAGTTAAAAAACAGAGATGGCCATTTCTGTGGATAACGTACAGCCTGATATCTCAAAATACTAAGAATTCAGCTTTGATGAGTCCTGTAACATAAAGTGCACTCGGAGAGCATTTGAGCTCATCAGAAGGGTTACAATAGTGGACATTTAGTTGATGTCATAATGACAATATCCCTATAAAACACAGGGCTGTGAAGGGCTAACATAAACTGAGCGCTGTGTGTTCAGGCTGAAAAACGAATCTGTGTGACAGTTTGGTGATAACACACAAGTTCAATCTGTCAAGACAATCAGCATTTAGACCTTGGGAGAAGAATGCGCGCCTGTGTGCGACCGATTCATTGGACACGATCACCTGCGAGTGAAGCGGCTCGTAATTCTTCCCACCTGAAATGAGGAGTTCAAACTAGTGTCAGGCCGCTCTGATGTCATGCCTGCCACAGGTTGGGTTTCACAATAATCTCAGGCTCTTGGAGAGATGCCATCGGAGTCCAACTTCCGCACCCAAGCTTTCTCCAATTAAATATCGGGGGAAAGAATAACACGTGAAACACTAGATCCCGGCTCATTTTTTAGGAAATTAAGGTGCAGCGGTTTCAATCAGTCATTTCTAATATGAGGTGTTCATATACAAACTATATATGAAGGGGGCCTCAAAGTATGCAGCTGATGGGAATGTATCTTTTTAACATCTGGAAAATAGCATGAGAGAGAGAGAGAGAGAGAGGAACTGCATAGGCAGCGACGAGGATCAATAGACTCATTGAGCCTCTTTATCTTCTCCTTAAGGAATGACAGCAATACTCATTCTGAGCCGACTCGCCGGCCCAGCTTTGTAACTCCATTCTCATGGCAACTGTGCACTCTGGACAAACACTCTCCATGCAATCTCTTTTCTCCACTCCTCACCGTCTGCCCTGCATCTCCACATCCTCCGCTCTGTCCCATTTCTATTCTCATCAGACCCGTGCAATAAATACCCGAGCCTTGCAGAGAAGCGATATAAGTATAGAAGAAGAGAGGCCGTCTAAAAGTGGAGTAGGTGATCTCAGCCTTGTTATATTTTCAATTTGTGATGGTTTGCATGTGGAAAAAAAACAAACTGGGAATATACATCCCAGGTGTGAAAAATATTTCATCTGCGGAAATAGTGTAAGTACAATTCTGGAGTCTATTTAAAAACAGGACAGCTCCTAATCCCAGAGATCAGCAAAGGGCAACACATCATTGCTCTTTCCACTTTTGCTCCAATTTTCTCACAGCACGGCACGGCACTATCAGACCCCAAACCATACCTCATTAAGTTGAAATATGGAAACTTGGGCAACTTCCAAAACTTCTCTCCCCTTCCCTTCCCCCTTGCGTAAGTGTGAAGACAAAACAGTGGACCGTAGAGGGAAGGGTGCACGGAGAGCTGCGGCAGATCCTTGGGACCGAGAGGGAAAGTAAACCTTTGATGAGTAAGACTTTTTTTGTTAAGCGAGGCGGCTTAACTTTAAAATATTCTGGGTGGCGGTGAATGGGGGATTGACCAATGGCCCTGATCTCAGCTACACACTGGGGCACTGGGGTTAATGGTGGATAAAGATTAGGGAAGAAAAAGGGGGGTTTCTTTGCCTGATCTCCATCCAACCCCACGCTCCACCCCGCAGTTTTTCACCTTCTCCACCAATCCCAAATCAGCCAGACAATGGACGCCGCCAATGGGGAATGATCCCAGTCCCTTTGATTTCCGCCTCTACCCCCTCGGCGGCTCAGAGTGCCCAGGGTAAAGATCCGTGGAGGTTCCCCCTGTTTGCCCACTCTCAGGCTCCACAGTTAGCAGGCTCAGAGAAACCATTTGAGGATTGGAAGTGGAATGACAAGAAGGTCTCTGATCTTTGACAAGAAATCAATTTCAAACTGGAAATATGAGCAGAGGGCTGTTCAGTCCAAGTTCTTTAAAGCAGCCAGAGATAGATCTAATTGCTGTAGATTTATATATATGTCTACATTGGAAGTATGGCTTGCAGTGTTGGGGCTATTACACTTTTGCGATGATTAAAAGGACTTTTTTTTAGGCCAGCAGATATGCAGTAAGAGTTCATCTTTGAAGATTTAACTGAATACTAGACAAATTAAGAAGTAATATCTAAATCTCTTTTAGGTGGAAAAGGAAATCTGGACTCTGCCTCGCTCTGGAAAGAGAGACTCTTGGGGAAGTGGACTTGGTTCTAGAGCCAAGCCACCCAGAATATGTTCTCCTGTCCATACACTTTGATCCTATTTCCCTCTAGTGTCCTAAGGTAAATAGATTTCCTCTCTTAGGTTGGCGGTAGAATATTTAAATTAAGTTACGGTTTGGATAGAAAGCAAACTGACTTCGAATTTCTGGCTTCAAACCAAAAATGTATTTAGGCAGATGTATCAAAATATTTCATACAGCAATGATTGATTATTTAGTTACAGTTTATGAAACCTACCTGAAGCTAAATCATTCACACACTACTCTTCTGAGTCTTCATTAAGCATGCTTACTTTATATACTTCCAAACAAAACTATACAGTTTAATTGTGTTTCTTCCTCATCATCACTACTTAAAATGTTTACAAAGGGTTGTGTGTGTGTGTGTGTGTGTGTGTGTGTGTGTGTGTGTGTGTGTGTGTGTGTGTGTGTGTGTGTGTGTGTGTGTGTGTGTGTGTGTGTGTGTGTGTGTGTGAGATCTAATCGATAGAATGGCTGCATTAGCCACGATGGGGATGTAATTGGCGATTCCCATTACCTGAGATTCCTCACACTCATTTGTGGACTGACCTGGTGACAAACACCATTAGCTCGGAAAAGGGAGCTATCTTAATCATGTCAACGTTTTGCACAACTACAAAATGCAGGAATAAAAAAATATATATAATACATCTATTAGATATTAACCGATTAACAGGTGATATTTTATTTATTATTCAGCTAAAAAAACATTTTGCTTGAGAAATGCATACAAATATTCGTCTTAAATTAGTTACTTTTAGAAAACTACATGAATCTCCCACACCCCAACTTTTACAGACGCCAATTGAATTATGACGAATCTAAATGAGGTCCGTGTGCTAACAGGTATGTTTTTCTCATACCAGGCTCGGCTGTTATGTAATTTGAGCACTGTTCAGAGCTGTTGTGGCTCATTAAAGTGAGTGGACACATGTATCTGGGGAAAACACAACACAACACCGGGCATAAAAAGATAATGAAAACAGCTTCCACTTACCTCTTTGGACTTCACAGTGTGTGTCGTGTGCTGTTTTCTACGGGCGCACCGTGTGCATATTTCATCCTTGAGAAAAATAAAAAGGGAAAATAAATGTTTGCGCCGGCTGAGCAGTATATTAAACAATGCTGTATCTTTGCAATCCAGTTTAGAGTTATAAATACCAGGTGCAGCCAATATAACCCTTTATTATGTTCGCTTACAAATCTTAATCAAGACAAGTAAATACAAAATAGAAAAATAGATATCAAAGCCCACATTTGTCGGCCATAATGCATATCATAACTTCTAAGCTGGAGTAGATTGAAAATCCTTGGGGTGTGAAAACCAAACAGGCACAACTGAAAGGTTGCCCAGTGGAGGGGGAATTCTATCAAGGTGGACAAGATGAAGATTTGCTACATTTGAGAGGGGAATGGGGGGGAGGGGGCCTTGACCTCCACGAGCCACTACAATCACCCAAACACACAGAAAGGCTAACAATACTTCAGACACAGTTGGAGTCTTGATAACAATGAAACATGCCTTCAAAAGAGTTTTACTTAGGAGAAACATTTTGAGAAGACGGCGCCAAAGGTCACTGGTGAACGATTCTCTGACAGATGCACATGTTTAAATACTCACCCTGAGGGAGAGAACTTGCTGTTGTTGTCCGTCACAGGAGTGGAAGGATGTCCAGCGATGTCAGCTATCTGAGATAAGATAAAACAGAAAGAATATCATTAGTCGAAAGCTCCTCACGAAATGCTGACCCTTCTTTTTTGTGTGTATGTTCTCTATGAACATTGAGTGCTGCTGCCGACATGTGTGGGCTAGATTGTGTCTTGCATAACTATTGTGTGTATGGCTCGTAGGTGAAAGCAATAAACTTGAAATAACAAAGTGCACCTGGATTCTGCTGAGTTTATGTGTGTGTGTGTGTGTGTGTGTGTGTGTGTGTGTGTGTGTGTGTGTGTGTGTGTGTGTGTGTGTGTGTGTGTGTGTGTGCATGCACAAACAGGCAGTACAGTAAAAGTGATATTACCCCCCTTCACACACACACTCCTCTCAAGTTGAAAGGTGCAGTGCCTGGAAGGCTGAAGCTCTCACCGCCAAGTAAATCACACCATTTACCTGACACGATTGATTTCTAATGTAGGTTCATTCAGCTTTCTACATCTAAGTACACATGATGTGGCGTTGGAGTCATTTATAGACCATTAGGATTGATATTTGTGTTAATTACACAGCAAGAGAAATACTGTATAATACCACTACTGCTGCGATAGATTGCCGAGGACATGTTTACTGCATATACATCAAGTTTAGAGCAATAGGTGAAGAATAATATGAATTCCTCTCATTGAAGAGAACTGTAGGGGCTGCTGAGGGCATGAGGAGGGGCACAAAACGGCCTGGATGTTTCCTTTTCAATACTTTTTTTCCTCCCCTTTATTCTCCTAGAATCCCAATGACCCCTACAGGCAACCGACGACTGCTGAATCCTGAGGAATGTGCTCTCTGAACTGTACGAAAAGCCCTCCGCGCAAACAGCACAGCTGAAAACAAAACATGCCAACTGCTATAATTTTTCACTGTTTTGAGTTTGTGGAAAATGTTGCACAGATTGCTCGGAATAGAGCGAGGCGTATGGTGGGAGGTGGGGGTGGGTGGACACTAACCAATGCACTGTGTGTTGGGGAAACAGACATAAAAAGCGGTTTGACAAGTTTAAAAAACATATAAAATGGTATGATTTATTTGTGTTTTGTGCCTTTGAGATATATAGTTTGGTTTATACGATCACAAAGTCTTTAAAATGTTATGAGATTTGGAATATATCTAGCTGTTGGAAGTTGTAACGGCGCCTTAAAGAAAATATAATTTAGATATACAACATTATTTGAAGTTCATGCACCTTTATTTGAAATGATTTGCTGTCGAGCAAACTTCACTATCACAACACCTCTGGGCTGATGTCATATTTTATTCACTGGGAAAGCATTAGAAATGCTATTAGTCTGTATGACCTCCACTTCGTGGGGATTTACAAATACCACACATATCTTTATGCCAAATACAAAACCACTGGTAAATTCTATCAACTTATAAATATGGCAAACGCATTCAAGTACTCATGAAGGCCTAATAATGCTATAGGCTGATATTTACATAAAGCGTGCGTGCACTAAGTCAAGATAAACTATTTAAGACCCGGACCACAAATGCTTCCACACTGCAGAAAAAGGAAGGTCCTGCGATGAAAGAGGACATTATGCTAACAAGTCAGATTACTGTACACAATAACTTTATCTTAAAAGTAAATACCATCCTCCTTGGTGTTGGAAAAGGGGAGGGGGGGGGCATTATGGAAAGTCACTGGCAATATTTCTGTGGGGACCAAATGCTCCTTATCAGTGTTAGTCGAGCAATTCAGGCCCGCCCGAAGAAAGATGAGTCTTCAAACTCATTCTATTCATGGTCAGACGTGTAATTACCCTCAGCTCACAGTCTAGACGTAACCGCTTTCACAGTATTTAAGACCCCCTATGCAACGCGCCGAGGCCAGCTCCTAGCACCGAGCCCTGCACGTTAAATCTGTGGCCAGATAAATTAGTGAAGAATGCAATAAAATAGACACAATGAGAGGAACTTTATCCTCCCTGCTGCTAAATGAGATTTCTTTGAAATGCAGATCAGTGGCTCTAGATTAGTGAATTTTAGCTGCTGTCAACATCATAACAAAATACAAATGCGATTGTTCGCCAGCGCCTTATCTCCTTGCTTCCATCTGTTGGCTGGTTATTTACTCCCCCCTGATTTACTATGCAGATCTAAATAAGTCGCATCAAAAGGAGGGCTTACTGCACAATGCCTTCTTAAGCTTCTACATCAAGGTATTTGAAAAACCGGTAGTCACATGAAAAGGCTGCCCATCAAAGGCACATCTCTAATGAACTCTCCCGTATCAGAGGGGGCTTGTGGGGCCTGGCTTTAATGCCGTCCGTGTTGGAGAGAGAGGAGCAGAAGTACAAATCAGACCCACCAAGCCATGGCAGAGGAGGGAGGAGGAGGACAGAGAGGGGGAGGTAAGAAAGGGAAGACAGGAGAGGGAGGATGAGGAGGGCCTCAGTTATCAGATGAGATTAACTCAATACCTAGTCCCAGGTCTTTCCATCCATCTAACTCCTTGGCTGAGGAAGGCACTTATAAGAAGACGACAATATTAGACGAGTAACAATGGATTATAGTGGACTCGTCACATGTCAGTCTTTGGGGATGCAGCAAAAAGCTTGCAAATCGATTAGTAGATTGGCAGAATAACTATTTTGATGATTGAGTTATCAACTATTAGCATAAATTGAGAGGAATATTTCCTGAAAAACAGGAAGGAATATGCATTTTAAATCAGCCTCGTAAACATTAAGTGTTCCTGTTATATCATATTCAACTGACTGGTTTTGGACGTAAAAGAGAAAAACTTCAAGTACTATTCTCTGACATTTTATAAACCAACAAATAACCAACTAAATGTTATCTGCAAATTATAAATAATGAAAATAAATCAACTTAAAAAGCAGTGTCTGGGCTTTTTATACAACTGGACTGCAGGAGAATCAAAGAATATTATAGGAATCTGTTTCAAAAAATATATGACAAACCAATCCAGTTCTCAGAGGGAGATTCTTAGACTGACAGGAAATAAAAGCATACTCATTCTCCCCAGATCCGCAAACAGCCTTGGTAATCTCGAACAGAGCTTTTGCATTACGCTCCTGCAATAACCTTTAATTTCATGGTGTATTTGTTGCATTCAGAGCAAAAGCCGGATTACAACCGACAATCTTCAGACTTAAACAGCGAAAATAAACTGCATGGAGAGATCATGATCTGTACCCCCTCCATCACAACACCCACCGTCGTCATCACCGCCACCATCCTGCTCTGTAGCAGTGTGCCTGGATAAAGGGGAGACCCCCACCAACAAGCATGCAGTTTACCAGTGAACAATTAGCCCCGGAGCAAGAGCAGGCCCGGCACTGGCACATGTGGTTAAGAGGCGAGCGCTGCGGGAGAGCGCCAGATGATGAAGGGATGTGGATGGGAGGAGGAGGGGGAGAGAAGAGGACACTGGGGGTGAGGAGGGGGGGAAGGAGGAGTGTGCCAGACACGCGTGTGCCAGTTTTTGGCTACTGGGCTTCGTCATTCACTTATTGCAAATCTTTACAGAAAAGATAACGACGGATAATGGGCCCCCTCTTCAATTCCAAGACAACTTGAAGGAACCCATTCAGATTGAGCTGTAATGTGATGGCATCCGATTGCTGAGCGTTCTGCTACAACAAAAAAAACATCATCCCGTCCCTCCCCTCGTCCCGCCTCAAGCTTCTTGCTGCTGTGTAGCATGCCAAGTGGGCCCGGTGCCAGTCGCATTTGCAACCACAAGGGACCCTTGTCTTTTTGCCTTGCCTAATGAAATGACAATACAACAGATTTGCATATGTAGACACAGGTGTTGTAACAGGTTTGACTCCTCTTGACCTAAACCATGTTAAAAAAATAAAACATGCATGAAAAAGCTAAAAAAAAGAAAAGTTTATGACCAACAGCTGCCTGGAGGTATTTAGGCTCTAATGGGCACTCAAGTCTGCACCATCTGCCCTGCTGCTTGCCAGAAGTGACAATCTAAATTAAAAACCACTCATCAAATATCATAAAAATAAACCATTGTTTTGCTGCCTCCATATGTTGTGGCCATTTTATTTGGTTCGCAGAGAGCAGCAACGAAGTCTGAGCTTGGAGGCCGATAGATGTTATCCGGGGAAAATCCAGAGAGCCGTACAGTAGCCTGTAATTACACTCTGCCGATCCGCTGTCTTCAGACCAGAGCCCTGCGTCACCCTACACATTATCCAAGTTCATCCTCTGCACATTACAGAGTAGAAAACCCTAACGGAGCCAATGTGGTGAAAACAAGGTCATTGTTTAGAGTAGGATTAGGGGTTGCTATCCAAGAGCACAAGCTGGGTGTTCAGATGATCAAAGGAGATCAAATGTCTGCACTATACTTGATTTAACTGCTTTATTCAAATGTGTAATGCCAGAAACAAAAATGGTGGTGTGTTGCTGTGAAACAACCCACACTAACAGAGATGCATCTTTGAAAATGTCAAAAGTCTCTCCTTCACATTTGACCAAATTACATCCTGGCCCAAAGGGCTCGACTGGAAACATTCCTTTTGTCCTTTACTCAACGACACTGTACAACACCCAAACCCACTCAACACTGCCGCCTCCACCCAACCCCCCACCTCCATTTTTCCTCCTGCTTTTATTTAGAAGAGTAAGACAGAAGGAACAAACCTGAGACAGTCGTGACCCTGCGCGAGTGTTGTAACTTGGTCTAGAGCTACGCCGGCAGAAGGCAGCACCATATGCCCTCAGCCCCGAGCTGGATGCTCTTTCTGCAGCCTAATGTGCCTGTCAAAAACTGTTACTGTCACGACCCCCCCCCCATGTTTTTTTTTCCCTCTCACAACATGTTTGAAATAAACATTTTTTTGTGTCTCTTTGGGTAAAGAGAAAAGGTCTTCGGAGATGATTTACGCAGTGTTGATGTTTTCTGGTCTGAAGCAAAACCCTCTATGGTTGAAGCTCGGATAATGCCATTAAGATTACATTTTAATTTGTTAACTAATGGTTGTCAGATATTATTTAGGTTGGAACTTACCATAGAAGGGGACTTTCTTCTCCCTAAAATCTACCGGTATTGTCATTAATCACAGCTTTAAACAACCTTTCGCAGCCCCATTAAACACTGGTAGAGTTAGCTCCCACTGTTAGCCTACAGTGCTGTCTCACATGAGCTTTGACTGACAGGCTGATGGCTGGATGTGGGCTGAGCCACAATGACCTTGCCTTTTACCATGAGTGACCCTCTATCTTTAATGCAGGGCAGGACCGACAAAGCCAACACGTTTCTTCTCACCCGGACACTGTCCATCTGACCGTGACTTGAATAAAAGCTGCCGTGCCTTCACACCACAAGTAAACATGCAATGAGGAACAAAAAGGGCAGGTCTGAAGCTGATGTGTACTGTGATTCAAATGAGTACATAGTTAATTTGAGAAACAGAGCTCATGGCAGCTCAGTGTCAGCTCAACAGGAGACTATTGAACTCCAAGGTCACCGTTAAGACTCTAGTGCCAAGAGGTGAACTCTAAACCTTATGAAAAGGCATCCATTATCTTACATTGCTGACGAGGTATAGTGTAAACAAACCAAAACGTTTGTTTTATATCTTTACATGCACGACCCGTTATCCGCACCAGCCAAAAGCAACACTTTATGTGGCTTTACAATCCTAAGAGGATAAAATGACGTTATATTTGCAAAACAATCTTTTCAAGATATTTTTACATTTGATTGTTTTGGTATGAGTAAATGTGTAAACGCATAGGCTTTTTAACAAAGCAAGCATGAAACCAATAAATAATAAACTGAAACAAATTCTACATGTGACTAGAGATGAAACAAAAGGCTAGTCACCGACTGGCTCTTTGCTCAGATAGTTCTTAACAACGTTTTGTGTGGGCTGCCTGCAATCTCCTTTCTAATCCTCATCCCCTGACCCCACCCTGCACACATTTCTCCGGCCAAAGAGTCACATCGTCTCCCAACACCGTCGAGTCAGGCTTAAGAAGTGACCCAGAGCGTAACTAAAAAAGTCTGAGCTGTCTCAAGACCCTTAGTGGCACACAAAACATCATTACTGTGATGTGGATAATTACAGTGCAAAAGGGTGGCCTCTTAAGCATGTAATGCACTCTTTTATCTTAAGAAGTCAATCTCTCCCAAGCCGACAGCTTGCAGTATATGATCCTGGTAAATAAATACTTTTGCGCGGCACAAAAGTGTCATTAAAGGCCAAAACTGTCAACACAAATTCCATTCTTACAGGGGGGCTGGGGGGAGGGAAACGAAGTGGGAGGGGAGAAGGGAAAAAAAGGACTTGATCACTTCTGGTTGCTTTAACTTGCATGGAGGTTGTCATGGAAACATTTTTATAAACTGGGATATAACCTGTACATGTAATTGCCTTTAAGCTCAGTAAGAGGGCTAAGTTAGCCACACATGAAAACACAGTGTAGTTTCGCAGATGAGCTCAGTGAGATGTTTAGAAAGTGAAGCTGCCGCACCACTCCCTTGATTTTCTTACCCATTTTTCCCCCAAAAGCAGCAACACCTCAAGGGTTGAGCGAGCAGTCTGTTTCATTACAGAGGTGTTGGGGGATGGGTGATGGTGCAACTCAAAAGCCAATCCAAAAGTGTTTCATTGCCTAAGAAGTACTCTGACTCACAACAGAATTGATATGATCTGTTTAGAAAATCCACGTTGTGGTCTTAATTTGCCATCATTTTAAACCGTTAATTCATTACGTTTGTGCATTCATAGTTTTCATAGAACTCTCAGAACAAAAAATGAATTACAAAGCATTTCCTACTTCAGCTCAGCTGGACGCAACCATTTCCATATCTAAAGATCAAATCATGCATCAACCAGTGTTCATTGAGCTGAAAGCTGAATCTTAATATTGATAAATGATTGAAACGTATGACAGGGTATACACATTAATCCTGTGGAGGACATTCATTTTCCTATTACCATAATGTAGAGCACGAGCGCCCGATGATAAATGCAGCAATCAAAAAATGGACGCAGAGTGGGGAGAGTCGTGGTAATAAGTGCACTGCTCCCAACAACGGTCAGCGATGGAGGGAGACTAATGGCAAGTCTCTCTCCATCGCTCCCACTGCCTTGGGGGAAAAAATGCACCCTGGTTTTACAAAATCAAGTGACCTTACTTACTGCACACACCACCCCGATAACAAGTCAACAAGGGGGACTGTTTTAAGCATGCTTTAAGAAATGATTACAGGGGCACTTCAACAAAGGGGCTGATTGTGCACCGTCGATGACATATTTCACAAGGGGCATTTATTGCCGCCTGGCCTTTGAAGAGTGAGAGCTGCTGAGTGAGGGGGGAACTGGCCCACACCTGCATAACTGAGGAGGGAACACCTGTGCACCCTGTGGCTGGAACAAGGAGGGTCCACGCAGCTAATCCAGGGTGAAAGCTGATCAGAGGACAGGCCCGGAGAGTCCAGCATCTCCCACTACCTAGTTAGCCTTCCTTTACCAAAAAGTGACATCTATTGATTCTATAGCCACAGTGATTGCAAGAGTGAAATAGAGGAATTTAACAGAAGCTTTTATGAGCTGTTTTGATTCATAAGTTAGAATTGTAGATTATCATGAATTCTGAGCATCCCTGTTTGTTTCTGGACAAAACATATGGAATATAAAAATGGAGCAAGCAAGCACGGTAAGGTATTCAATGCTGATAATCATAGATCATGCAGATAAAGCATGAATAACTACAGCTCGTGCTTACAATCTAATTGCATTTCCTTTTTACTGAACAGGTTTTATGTTTAGGTTTGTATTTTGAAAACAGAAGGAGTGATTTAAAAAAAACACTTTTGAAACACACTATAAGCAACCCCTGGTTGTGACAGTAAAGGAATTTAACAACACAGAAATCTTTGCTTATTTAATAAATAAGACAAATGAATGACATTTAGATGGTGTAAGTGATGTACATATAACAATTGATATTACAAATTAAGGTTATTGTTTAGTCTTGTTTTTAGTAATTATTGAAATGTTTTATCAACACTAATAATTTACAGCAAACTCTAAATATATAGTAAAATTGCTTTTCATTACATTATTGCAAAAATAATAAGACATTAAATCTAAAAATGGGCTTTAAATCAAATACAATTTTAACAGGACAGTTATCAATACTTTTACCGAATTGAGCACACTTCTGAACAGACTCTCCTTTTTTAATTAGTTTCACGATATGTCATTTACCACTTGGTGGTAAATACATATCGTGTATGTGTAACAATGTGCAAGCACAATTTATAAATCTGAATTTAATGGTTAAATAATGAGCAGATAAGAAACAATAAGTTGGCTTTTTAAAAGTCAGTGCTCAGTGTTCGGAGCAGGCGAAGCGTTGACAGAGCTGTCTGAGGGTCCAACATGAAAAAGCTGAACTCTAGTCCTAGGTGATAAATGTAAAATAACAGCAGCTCGGTCATTAAAAAGCACAGGAAGTCCTCGCGCAACATGTAAATAATAACGTTCCAAGTTAAGTTGCAAAGCGCCAGATAACACGGGACAAACTTGTGGCCAGCGGTCCACTTCCTAATTCACAAAGTGTGGAGAGAAAACGGCTCATGGGGAGAAAAACTTACCACAAAAAATGGCAGGTATATTCTCCTCGCGGTAAAGTCAAAGGGACACACCAGGTGCGAAGTCGTCGTCCTCTGTGTTTGCAGAGATGTTCACACGTGACTGTCCAAGTTCACCATAACGCAGAGAAAATGAACAACAAGCTGCAGAGTAAATAAAAAGCTCAAATATTCCTCCGCTGGGCACCGCAGTCTGAGACACACACACACTCTCTCCTGCTGTCTCCCGTCAACGCCGCTGTTATTACTAATGCAACAGAGGGAAAAGCAGTACACTGAGTCCTGTTTGAATGACGCGCAATGCGAGGAAGACGCGGCTTGTTTTTTTTCTTCGTTACGATTCAAACACACATCAAGCTGTATCCCAGCAAGCAAGTATATTTGGGTCTAGAAACCCCCCCGGGGGAGGCACTTGCTTGTGCGCGGAGGTGTGTGTGTTGTTATTTTTGGGAGTACTGCGACCCCGTGTGACGTCAGGGCACCTGCTATGTCAACACAAAGTTATTTTTTTAAAGTTTGTTTCCCCTTTTTCAAACGGCGTGGGTTTTCTCTCTGTTATACGTTGCTCGTGTCGTATTGTTGGTGGGGAGAGAACCGGTAACGAGACGGTCCTTCCGACGAAGAGATAAGTGAGCCCGGTGCTCAATCTGAGAAACTTCATGAAATACACTACCATGAAGTCGCTTTATTACAAATGCATCTGCCATTTGTAACCAAATGAAAAAATCATTAAATATTGCCGTAATGTTCCAACAGGAACTGCATACAGCGACCACAAAGTGGGATATAACATGAAGTTGTGTGTCATATTTTTATGGTAAACTACATCGCTGTCATATTCTATTAAGACTTTTTAAATTCTAAATAAAATAAATATGCAATCTTATGTGTGAACATGAGTCAAAGGAAATACATCAGGCTTATTATTTTTAAAACATTCTTAATCTGCATAGTAAAAAGACAAATAACGATGTTCTGGGGGGGGGGGGGGGGGGGGGGGGGGGGTGTGCATACAGTAAAATGATGTGCAATGATAAATATCTTACAAATTAGTATCGTTATTATTTTTACAAAATTTCTCAAGTTAATGTAAACATACAGTACGTTTAGACTATGTATAGCTCATTCTAAATGTATAGCTCATTCTTAATGTCATCTAATGAAATCTAAAATAATATTATAATAAATAATAGTATTACAAGAAGATGTACATGCACTGTTTGACTGAAGGAATGTTTATTTTTAATTTTGCTAAAAGGTCATTTAGTCTATTTATTCTTTTAAAAGTAGATCCGAAACCAGACGTGCAGTTGTTCAAAGGCTTTGCTTTATTCTGTCTCGTCTTCCTTTTCTTCTTTTCAAACTGTTGAGACGTTCACGGTCAAGAAATTAATGACCAAATGATTATCAAGTTAAAAAAAAGGGGTGGAGGGGGGGGGGGGCACGTATTAAAAACATGTAAGAAACACAACAACTAATGTCCTGTATTCTTTCTACTGGCAATAATTAAAATGCTATATTTACTTTTATTTATATGATGAATGACTGTTTTTTGTATGTGATTTGTTCATGCCAATGATGGTTATATGTGTCTTTAATGAAAGAAACTCATCTTGCAGCATCTGTGTCTAAGCCTGTGCTGTATGTGTACATTTAAATGGCGTCAATAAAGTGAAGATATTTGTATTGACTTAAATACAAAATAGTCTGCATGTCTCTTGTAGTAAGAAGGCGTCTTATTGATGTTAATATGACAGTCATTTTCTTCTCTAGTAAAACTGTTTCACCATATGAATGGAAAAGCTTTGTGTTGCCATATAGCCTATGTATGCACTAAAATAGATACATTGAGATATATTCTCGCTGATATTTGTATTTGATTTGAAAAAAAACACGTGTTGTAGTTGATAGCATGTGAAACGCATATCATAATACCCAATATGTCAGTATTTGTTCAATTAGGTTTGTGTGTTGTTGTTTGTAACAAATCTTTATTGCTATTTTTTTTGAATCCATCGAAAATACAAAATGTAACAGCATCTTTGATGTGATCAGGCTGTAAAACAAGTATCATGGAATTGTGGTGGTATGCTGCCACCTACTGGTCAATGTTATATATGACAGTCTGTCAAAAGTAACAGGAGACAACGGAGTAAATAACTATACATGTAAGTGTATACATGTTTATTATTACCACTCTCCCACCATTTTATTGAAAATGTACATATTGTGTATTTTTTTATCCTGCATTAATATCGCAACAGAAGGGAAGTATACAAATATTAATTTTGCTGATGTGTATTTCTATCTGACATGTATTTCACTGATCATATAGTGCCATCTACTGATATACATTGGACATACAGTTCAAATACCACTGTGACCAAATAAATAAACGGTTGAATAAAATAAAATGTTTGACAATACTATTTAACATGTTGAATAAGCTTTTTTCTTTCTTTTTTAATAAGCAGTTTTGTCCCTGATTTATTTGCTTTCTTTTTAAAAAACAAAAACATGTTTGCATATGGTCACAGACTTGTCATTATATATCTGCCTTTACAGCTATTGCACATTGTGATGGTATTTACAGACCAAAACTACAATTGATAGTAAACAGAGAGCCTCAGCAGGTCACCTACCTGTGAAGGATTGTATTGCCAGCACTTTATTTACACAATAAACTGGATTTTAAGGTATAGGTACACTGCACGTTGGTGATTAGTTGAACTTCCTATCTGAGGAGGCAAACACACACAGGGTCACACACAATATTATCTCGTTTTTTGTAGTCTGTATATAAAAGGTCAGAGGTCAAAATTAGCATTTAGCAGAAGAGCATTTCCCCTTTGAGCAGTCCTGGGGACACTTGAGTACTACAAAATATTATTTCTGTTATTATTTCTATTACTTCCAATTATATTATTTAGAATTATTTCTAAAAAGGCTCCATTTTCTCTGTAAGGCTAAACTTAGGCACAGACACAATTTTACCTAAATGCTAATATTCAAATGCTAAAAATGCTCACAATGACAATGGAGACTTTCTTATGTTAACAATACTGTATTCACCACATTAGCTTAGAATGTTAGTAAGTGGTGGTAAACACAGAGTTGAAGGTGAAATGACTGATTAGTTCTCAAGTAGTTTAACAAATTCTGAATTAATACAATTATACCTTGTGATGGCACTTAATGAAAATGTAAGGACAGGTCACCATATTTATTTCTGACGTCAACTTCTGCAAAAAATGCAATAAATAGTTGAGATATTTCAATTTGTAGTTTGTAGGGCAGTGGAGGACTAAATGCATTAATATTCTATTTCCAGCCAAATAAAGGTATATTAGAGAAGTAAATTCAAGCTAATCAACATTGCTAGAAAGCGGAACATCAGTTTCCATTTCTGCACATTCTGAAAGAAGCACCATGGTTTAAGGCTGTACAGCTGAGTATTTAGAAGCACAGATTATATCAGGGATTACGTACAACTGTTACATGATGGCTTGTGTCATCATCTGACAACCATGACCAAAATAAAGTGTCATACCATAACACTCAGATCCAAAGTCCCATCTCAGCCATATCATTATTGTGTTTGGTAAAAGGGATACAGATAGTAAAGTTCAAATACAGATTTTTAACTCTGATTTTGGAATATTTACACATTGAAATCAGCTGTATATAGACACCATGGCAATGTACTATAAACATGGTTCTGTTAGTGCACTATTTTTACTTTGAAGTGTTTTATGGAAGCTATATTTTCCTTTATTTATTTTGTTACTAGCAAACATATTGTGCAAGGATAACTACGAGGATAAATGGTCTGCCCTGAACTAGTTATATATGAGCACTATTAATAGGTTTGGCTCAGACTCCCAGTGTTCAGCTGAAACCAAACTCCATCTGCCCAGTCACGTCCTCACCCTGCTCTCCCTTCTACAGTATCACTGCAGCCAGGCTACGGGCACTCTGCTCTGTGCTACCCTCTGAGCCAGACAGACGGTAGAACGGGCCGACAGCTGCCTCTCAGGCCTCCGCACAACATGGAGGGGACGCACATCCAACCCATGGAGGAGGATGGGGCCGTTATGGAGGAGGAAATGAAAATAAATGGGGAACAGGAAGAGGGAGAAATGGAGGCCTCGGAAGAGGAAACAGATGAGGACTGCGAACCGGAGCCCCCACACGTCATTCGGAGGAAGGTGTCGTTTGCCGATGCGTTCGGTCTCAACTTGGTGTCAGTGAAGGAGTTTGACAATGTCACAGAGTCAGAGGTCAGCCACCCCCCGAAGAGTAAGGCAATCCCTCTACTGGAGGAGTTCTACATGTCCTGCCTGTTTACAGCCCCCTCATCCCCGGAGGAGCTCGACCAGAGGCTACAAACACAGATGGTTGAACTTGAAAGCATGGAGCTCCTCCCGGGGACCACCACACTGCGTGGCACCATCAGGGTGGTCAACCTCTGCTATAGTAAGTCAGTTTACGCCCGGGTGACCCTGGATCGCTGGACGAGCCAATTTGACTTGTTGGCGGAGTACGTGCCTGGATCCAGTGACAGGAAAACAGACAGGTTTACCTTCATGTACACCCTGGTACCTCCCTTTGATAGAGAGGGGGCCAGAGTGGAGATCTCTCTGCGTTATGAGACCTCCGTGAGCACTTTTTGGGCTAATAACGCAGGGTTGAACTATGTGCTGTTCTGCCACCAGAAAGGACATGTGAAGGAGCACGTTCTCCGGGTGCAAGAGGAGAGTCACATCTACAAGAGCAAGAGGAGCTGTCTGAAAGCTATCATGTGAGATAACCTAATACTCAAGTTATTTTGTAAACATTCAACAGCACGAGGAAGTCGTGGCAATAGACGTCATAACATGGAAATCAATATTCAGATAAAACCGTTTTTGGATATATCAGTGCAAACTTTATTCATGTTGTGACAGTTTAGTAACAAATCAACCAGAAACAAGTGAAGGCTCCAAATGATTCATTTCCTGTGGTAGGACATTTAACACAGTGCTCTACTCCTGTCATCACGTGGAAGCTGGCCGGGCAATTGTGTGTTTACAGTAAGCCGTTATGTAACTTTCAGTAATGGCTGCTTGAAACACATATTGCCCTTTTAAGGTCAGGTGTGTGTCTAGGTTTCCATGACGTCTCACCATGGCTACGGATGCCAGATAGGCTTAGGCTACTTTTTTCTCTTTGAATGAACTCCAAATCAGAAAATGCGTTTTCTTCTGACCAGTAATTCCTTATTATCTTTGCTCTGATCTGAGTTGTTTCAGTTTGAAAGTTGTGCACACATTACAAACATTTTTTAAAAAACTGGCAAACATTCAAATTAAATTCACACGAAGGTATAAACTGTCTGCATGGAAATAGGGATCGCAGCTTTTTTCTGTACACCTTTTACTAATGTATTACAATTACAGCAAAGCCAGTGTTGGTGCAT